GACTGTCCAAATTTTTTCTTCTTGAAATGTTTGTTTGAAAAATATCATTTGTGCTCTGCTGAATTGTCCATGCAAGATTGTTTTCTGAATCATCCATCCCAGATTTTGCATGCCAAAATGTTATCTGTATTTTAAGTTTGAAAATCCAGATAAATAAATAAAAATAAGAAAGAAAAGAAGGCACATGTGTTCTCATTTGTATTTTAAGTTGCACAATCCAGATAAATAAATAAAAATAAGAAAGAAAAGAAGGAACATGTGTTCTCATTTTCTGCGTCGTTTTTTGGACAGGTCTTGGTTGTTTCATCATTTGGGATGTGCTTTGATTGTTTTACCCATTATACTTTTATTTTTTAGTAAGAATATATTCAACCCTTGATTCGAGTACTGTGGATAAGTTCTTAAGCATGAAAATGCAACGAATGAATTTCCTGTTATACGCTTTCATAAAGTTTCCATATTATTTTGCTTGCCCCTCATATCGTCCTTAACTAAATTATACATTCTGTAATTATTTTTTTCTAATGGAATTCTTCAGGGCCCGAAGTAGATCGCTTGGCTGCTATGGCTGGAAAGTATAAGGTTTATTTAGTGATGGGTGTTATAGAAAGAGATGGATACACCTTATATTGTACGGTTTTATTTTTTGATTCTCNAAGGTCATTGTCTTGGAAAGCATAGGAAAGTCATGCCAACAGCACTCGAGCGTAGGGGATTTGGAGATGGTTCGACAATTCCAGTTTTTGAGACTTCTATAGGGAAGATCGGTGCTGCAATTTGTTGGGAAAACAGAATGCGACTTTTAAGGACAACAATGTATGCTAAAGGTTTTTTTTTTTTTTTTCACACTCTTTTTTTTTTTTTTTTCACACTCATTTTATGTGTAATTAATCTTTAAAAAGTGCAACATTTGAGGATGGTTTTGTTTAATATGAGTGATCGGTGAATGTGTCCTGAAAAGCTAGAAACCAAACCGAAATAAAACATTAGAAAATCTAAGGATTTGATTGGACAAAGGATTTTACTAATTTTACTTTCATTTAGAGAGATTTGAATGAACAAAATGCGATAGAAAAACAGAAATGACTTCTGGGAGTGATGGTAGTGCGATGAAAATGTAAGTGAATATATCGATCGCACAGGCTTTCGAGAATCTTAGGTGCTCAAGAGAGGGTTTGTCTTCGTCGGATGCTAGCACGAGGCTTGAGATTTTTGGTCATAACAAACTTTACGAGAAGGTAAAGAATGAATTTGTTAACTGATCAACTCCACTATGGGAGGAGAGGCACTGGAGAGAGGCGACATTAGGGAGCAGCTGATCCCGCTCCTAAAACAATTTGGCCTTTAAATCTTTGGGTGGTTTTTTCTTATTAGTTTTAAAATATTGATTATATATTTTGTGTTTTTTCAGCACCTACAAAAGCACGCTTTTGAGTTTTCACAAACATTTAACGAGTAGTGTTCTATAAATTTGTCCACCTGAAGCCTTATATGGTTTGCTTTATAAAGATCCCCGACATGGACGAGC